CCTGCCCCTGGGACACACTGAGATGGTGATTGAGACTGGGCGTGGTGGCACACACTTGTAATCCCAGACCTTGGGAGGCAGAAAACAGGAGGATCACTACTAGTCAGATCTGTGTAGTGAGACCCTATAGACCTTGTACTAAAAAAAAAAAAAGTTCCCTACTTAAGATGCCTACTAGAAATCTTAAAGCCAAAATTTTTAATTCCAAAAAGTTAATTTTTAAGTTATACTGTCCTTATTTTATACTTGCTGCCTTTGTTTTATTTTGTTTGTGTTTTAACTTTATTCTACCTTATTACATTTTGTATATCATAAGACGGTTTTAATCCTAATGGAAATAGAGGAGTATAATTACAGATTAAATAAAATATTAAGGATGCTATCCATGTCCATTTTTTCTATTTCCAGAAACATCCAGATTAATTTTAAATTTATATTTTTAGTGCTAATGAGTTAGTAATTTGCAGAGGTATTTTTTTTCTTTTTCTTTCTTTCTTTCTTTTTTTTTTTTTTTGCATTTTAGGGAAGGTCTGCAGGGTATTCAGGGTCTCACTGCTAGATTGGACTCATACTGATCCACAACCTCCCAAGAGCTGGAATTACAAGCATGCGCCACCACACCCAATCTCAATTGCTGTCTCAGTGCACCCAGGGGTGGGGCCAGCATGGATCAAACCCCTTGGCCCCTGTGCCTGCTTGCAGGCACTTTAATCTGCTGAACTATTTGGCCTTCCTGCAGAAGCATTTTTTAAAGTTGGAGGAAAAAAAACAGGCCCATCATCTACAGTTTCTGGATACCCTTGCTCTGTTTGTTTCCTTAGTAGCTAGCACAATGTTTCACACATAATAAACTATTCATAAATATTTTATATAAATATCCTTGTAGAGATAATTTTGTCATTTCAGATATGCTGTAATTACTTCACTGTGGATGACCAACAGCACTCAGCCCTTTGTTGGAGAGTATTTGGGAACTGTATTTTTCATTAGTTTGTAGTTACTGTTTGCATTATTAGTTTGCTGATTGGTGAGGATAAAGGGTGTTTTTATCTGATACTGTCTATGCATATGCAGAGAAAGTGGGTTTCCCAATCTGTGTCATTAAGGAGGTATCCTGTGTACCCAGATGTTGTGACAGTTCTGATGGCAGTAAGAACAGTAAAGATAAGCTGGATTTTCTAAAGAGTAGCCAGCATTGTCTCTTTACTGTTTCTCTTTGAATTGCCCATCACCAACAATTCCATATTAAGCAAAAGTTTAAAATTCTGGGTTTTCTCACAATACTGTATAACAAAAATCTAATACTTGCTTTAATTTTTATTTTATTATTGTCTTTTTTGTATTTCTGCCACATAGCTGTTTTAAAAAAAAAAAAAAAAAAACATTTATTTATTTATTTAGTGTGTGTGTGTGGCCAGCTCAGCCCACCAGGGGGCGGGGCTGGCTGGCATGTGGTGCTGGGGGATCGAACTGCGGTCCCTGTGCTTTACCAAGCTTGTTCCAAGTAGGTGCTTTAGACCACTGAGCCATCTCACCAGCCCGACATAGCTGTTTATGCTAAATAAATTTGGGTTTATATATCACCAGAGGAACTGAGTGCTTGTTAGAATAAGGTAATTTATCCAGTTTGCTAACAATTAACATTCTCTGTAAGAAGCAGACTGGTATACAAAGATGAACAGAATTTGAGGAACCATGTGTATAGAGGAAATGAAAAAGAATAGGATAGATCCAGAGGATGAAGCAGAAGAAATAGCAGGTGAAGTTCATTTCTAAAACTTCTCAATTGATTGGATACCAAATAGACTAAACATATAATTACTTACCACTAGGAGAAAACTACAAAGTAATGCTGATTTGGTTACAACAGTCATTCTATTTATAAAATCACATACCTAAGTTATACCTAAAACAGCATGTAATATTTCAAATTTTGAATAGTCTCCTGATGAAATTGTACTTTGACTGCAAATTCACTGACAACGTCAAACAGTTAAAATTATTGTCTCAACAAGTACCTAAGTTGTGATGGCTGAGCGGGCTCTCACATGGAGGCAGGGTAGTTTGTCCTGCAGAAATGATCACCAAGACTCAGAAAGTAGACCTGGACCTTGGGCTTCCACAGAAAAAGAAGAAGAAGGAGGTAGTCAAAGAACCAGAGACTCAATATATAATTGTAAATGATGGGAATTATTTTGCTAATAATTCTCCTGTAAGGGCCATATCTCCCTCTAGGACTGTAAGCCAAGAGCAGACATCCCATATACCTTTGGTGAAGAAAAAAAAAAAAAGGAAGAAGAAGAAGAAGAGGAAGAAGAGGAAGAAGAGGAAGAGGAGGAGGAGG